GGTGGGTTTGAACCGCCAGCCTTCTGATTAGCAGTCAAGTGCCTTAGGCACTATGCTACCAGAGCTCCTATACTAGGGGATTAAATTACAGGAAAATGTGAACAGTGATTGATAGTGCAGAAATGGGCTGGGCTAGCATGAAAGTAGTAGGATTTGTACTTTTCATTTTGAACTTTTCTGTATTTGAATTTTCAAAGCCAGCTCCACAAAATGGTTTTGTTTATACCAAGAGAATTTAACTGAGCAATGAAACTATCATTGTAGTTTATATGTTATTTTTCTCACTTCATTAAAAAATTAATCAATGTCATTAAAAGTATGTATATATGCCATAAAACCCACCACTTCCTCCCCTTTGATGTCAAGCTCCTTGCCCTCAAGTTGCTTATCGTCTCAACGTGAAGATAAGAGCGAGCAGACGAGCAGACGAAAGGATTGGCGTGCACAGCAGGGTGGGACGTAATTAAGTGCCCAAGAACGCAGAGCGGTCTCTTGAGACCGTAGGAGTGCAGCTCTCTTCCCAAACATGGTATTTTCCCTGATGTTTTTTTTCCTCCACCAGAAATTTTCCACTTTAATTATGTGGGTTAGGTTAGAGGAGTTCACCTTCGGAACTTTAAATGCACGAACAGCTAATCCCTCCCGTAAGACACATTTCTGGGAAAGCCCAAAGATAAATGTTTACAGCCCATGCTGGGAGAACAGAACCCAGTGAAATTAAGAACGATTTAAGTATGATGTGTCCAGGCCCTAAGAAACAATCGAGGGGGAGCTGTCGCCTCTCTGCTCTGGAATTCGGGCCTTTGTTCTTACAAACAGTAGAATCGCTGGCACCGGTCATAGGTGAGGGTATGTTTTTCCCCCTTTCTCTGGTTGTACCTTAAATATGAGGAGGGTGGTAATTAAAACCATACTTAAAATATTAAACTTTCTACCGAAAAGAATGAAGTTTATTAAAAGTTGCTAAGCATTAAGTACAGAAACTCAAAATAGCCTGAATGTAGTCCCCTTGGTGTATACCCAAAACACTGGTGGAGTTTGAGCCCCGGGATTATGTGTGTGCGCGCACGTGCGGGTGCGCACACACACACAGACATCAATACATTGATGTCTCAATAAATGGAATGCATTTCTCAAGTAACTAGCATTTGACAAGCAGAGAGCAAGCATGACCCCCTAATTAAGGTACTTAGAAGGGTCATTACTCAGCACAATTGTGAAACGGTCTCACTTGGACTCAGAGAAAATAGGGACCAATACTACATAGCACTTTGCCTCTTGGGGCCTCAGTTTTCTCATCAGCCATATGGCCTCAGTGATACCCACTATGCGAGGCTGTGGAGAAGGCGGAAGGAGATGCCCGGCACTATTTTCCACACTAAAGGAGCCCCGGTGGGAAAATAGTTAAAGCACTTGGCTGCTAAGCAAAAGATGGGTAGTTTGAACCCATCAGCTGCTCTGCAGGAGACAGATGTGGCAGTAGGCTTCTGTAAACATTGTTGTTGTTGTTGTTATGTGCCGTGGAGTCAGACCCTACTCATAGCGACCCCTCCTTGGGTTTCGGAGGCAGTTATCACTACGGAAGTAGATTGCCCTATCTTCCTTCCAAGGAGTGGCTGGTGGGTTTGAACTGCCAGCCTTCTGGTTAGCAGTCAAGTGCCTTAGCCACTACGCTACCAGAGCTCCCTCTGTAAACATTACAGCCTTGGACACGCTGTGAGGCAGTTCTACTCTGCCTTATAGGGTTGCTGTGAGTCGGCATTGACTCCTAAGCAACGGGTTACTGGGTAATAATACTGCATACAAAGTAAGGAGATGCTTAGTCTTTTTTGTAGGGGATTTCCTAGGGGATTTAATTGAAGAGAGATGGGGCTCTTCCTCCTCCCCAAAGGGATGGAGGGAATCTATAGATCAGTCCAGATAAATTCCAAGGGTGATCAAGGTGTATTCGATCTCTATCCTTCTCTCTTACACGTAAGGTCTTAAGGAAAGGGCCGCACAGTGTAGTAGCCACAAGCTTGGTTGTGGGTCCAAATGCCAGCTTAGGACCTTGAAGAACTCAGTCACCATGCTGAGGAGTGCTGTGAAGAATGAATGTGATCATGAATGACAGATGCTCAGCATGTAGCAAGTTTTTTACTGCAGTCAGCCACTCACCTCTCCAAGAACTCCTCACAGAGGAACCTGCCTGGTGGCCCAAATGTCCTGCAGCGTAGAAGTAAGGCTTTGGTGCCTTCAGGAGAATTGAGGCTCAGAGGGAAAGTCCTGGGCAGTGCATGTGGTCAACCTGCTCAGCTGCTAACTGAGAAGTTGGACATTTGAGTTCAACCAGAGGCACCTCTGAAGAAAATCAGAACCCGTTTCTGTCAAGTCAATCCCAACTCGTAGTGACACTATAGGACAGAGTAGAACAGTCCCATAGCGTTTCAAAGGCCATAAATCTTTACAGAATCAGACTGCCTCTTTCTCCCGTGGAGTGGCTGATGGGTTCAAACCACCGACCTTTTGGTTAACAGCTAAATACTTTAACCACTGTGCCACCAGGACTCCTACTTCTGAAGAATGGCCTGCCACTCTACTTCTGGGGGGTGGGGAGTCAGCCACTGAAAACCCTATGGAGCACAGCTGTACTCGGACACATGTGGCGTCACTGTGAGTTGGAGTCCACTCAGGGCAACTGGTAGGCTTACTAGGAAAACCCACCAGATGGGATTTCCTCATGTTTGGAAAGAAGGACTTTCCTTATGCATTTGTTTTCTGAGTTCCTCAAAGAATTCCTTCAAAACTTTTTTAGAGCACACTGTAGGTGCTCAGTCTTGGTTGAATGAACCACAGTAAGTACTCCGACTTACTGAGCTGCTGTTAAGGGCCAGGCACTGCACTTCCCTGAAATACTAACTTTGCTATTTCATTTTAATTCCACAGGAAGAAGGAAGCAGTAGAGTTTAAAAATATATGAGAACAGGCTTTGGACTAATAGTTTGAGTGACCTCTGGAAAAGTACTTAAATTCTCTGAGCCTTGAGATGATGGTTTCCTCACCTGTACCATGAACACAGTAGAGTAAAACCTGCAAAAACAGCAGACTGTAAGGCAGAAACTTGTCAGAGAAGGAAAACTCAAGTCCCATCCACTTATAGAAAGCAATAGAAAAGGAGTAAGATTGCACCCTGTCAAAGGCAGGAGACTTGCCAGACTCAGAAAACCAAGGCAGTCCCGTCAAGTTTCGGCTCTCACGGGTTTCACTGTACAATGTCTACATGCTGTGATTGAAAGTACACACATACAATCACTTAGCACAGTTTCTAGCACCTAGTATATGCACAACAACAACGATAATAATAAAATAACCCAGTGAAAAACTCCTTGGAACAATAACCGCTGACAAAAGTTCATTTAACTTCTTCCTTCTTTGCATTGCAAATGATGAGTCAGGAATTGACCTGCAGCTTTAGGAGTAAATAGGATGTGAGGAATGAGTGCACAATGACATTATTTTCTTCCAAGCCTGTTCTGGGAGAATTGTCATTTATTAAATACCTTAACTTGAAAACCTGTATAAGGAAATGGTTAAGAAGAGAGCTCTGGTGTTGGTCTGCCTGAGTTTGAATTCCTGCCTTTCATTTTACAAGCTGTATGACCATGGGCAAGTCTTTTAACTTCTCTGATCTTTAGTTCTAAAAAGTGAAGATAATAGTAGATTCCTCTACAGGGTTACTTTGAGAATTTAACACGTGAACATATGAAAAGCCTGTACCATGCATGACACCTTGTAAGCATTTAGTACCTGGTAATTTTTATTGTTGCTGTTCTTTGCATATATAAACAAGGATTTAGATGGAGCTCTTGTGGCATAGTGCCTCAGGCATTTGACTGCTAACCAAAAGGCTGGCGGTTCAAACCCACCAGGCACTCCTCGGAAGGAAGATTGGGCAATCTACTTCTGTAGTGATTCCGCCTCGGAAACCCAAGGAGAGGTCGCTATGAGTTGGACCCGACTTGACGAGGGCAGTGAGTTTGGTTTAGTTTTTCTTCATTTCCTAGGGCTGTCATAACAAAAGTTACAAAGTGAATGGGTTTAAAGAACAGAGATTTTATGTCCTCAGAGTTCTGGATGCTAGAAGTCTAAATCAAGGTATCAGCCATGTTGATTTCTTCTGAGGGATCTGAAAAAGGTGCTGTCCCCTCTCGCCTAGTTTCTGGTGGCTGCGGGCAGTCCTTGGCTTTTGTTTGCTGCTTATGGATACATCTGCTTCCATGGTTACATGGCATCTGCCTTCCCCCTGTGTGTGACTCTGCTCTTCTCTTTTGTAAGACACCACTCAGAAAGGATTAGAACTGAGACCCACCCTTCTCTGGTATGACTTAACTGATAATACAAAGAAAAACCTCATTTTCCCAAACAAGGTCACATTCACCAATACAGGGGTTAGAACTACAACATATTTTTGAGGGGACACAGTTCAACCCATGACAGATAGATTAAGCACTTGGCCAAATCACCCAACCACTAGCAACAGGTAGAGCCAGGATCCTAAAACCTGATACCCGTGTATCAGAAAAGGTTCGTTTACACTATAGTAACATACAACTCCAAAGCCCGGTAATGTGACACAACCAAAGTTTATTTCTCATTCACACAAAGTCCTTTACTGTTCTGGGCAGCTAGCTCTGTGTGTGTCAGCTCAGCATTCAGATGGTGTCACTCTTACCCTCTCAACACAAGCACAAGTGACCAGAGAAGAGCAGGAGAACTGTGCACCAGCAATTAAACGCTTCCCTGTGGGAGGAAAGTGCATCACTTTCGCTCACATTTCATTGGCCAGAACAAGTCACTTGGCCACACCTAACTTCAAGAGAGAGAAGTGGAGTTCTTCTGAGTACATGGAGGATAAGAAAACAATTGTCCCCAAATGCCAGTGTCTTAACTGCTCTAGAGTACACTGTTCTGCTTCTCTCTGGTGGTGGTATTAGCCGCTATTGGGTTGACGCCACCCCGTGATGCCGCTGTTGCTAGCTACTGTTGAGTTGGTTCTGCTGCATAGTGACCCTGTGCGGCCCTCTATATAACAGAGCAAACACGGCCTGGACTTGTGCTATCGTCACAGTTGCTGGCTATGTTTGAGCCCATTATTGCAGCCACTGTGTCAGTCCTTCTCCTTGAGGGTCTTCCTCTTTACTAAGCATGTTGTCCTCCTCTAGGGACTGGTCCCTCCTCACATTCTCACTTTTAAAAAGCATTCCAGCTGTACTTCTTCCAAGACAGATTTGTTCTTCTGCCAGTCTGTGGTATAGTCAGTGTTCTTTGCCAACACCATAATTCAAAAGCATCAATTCTTCTTCAGTCTTCCTTATTAATTATCCATCTGTCACATACATATGAGGTGATTGAGAAGACCATGGGTTGGGTCAGACGTACCTTAGTCTTCAAAGTAACTACTCTTTGCTATTTAACACTTAAAAGTGGTTTGTGGCAGCAGATTGTCGCAATACAACACATCGTCTCATTTCTTGACCGCCACTTCCGTGGATGTTGATTGTGGATCCAAGTAAAATGAGATTTTGACAGCTTGTGTCTTTTCTCCATTTATCATGATAATGTTTATTGGTCCATTTGTGAGGATCTTTGTTTTCTTTATGTTGAGGTGTAATCCATACTGAATGCCATAGTATTTGATCTTCATTGTTGTTGTTGTCGAGTCAGACTTATGCTGTCGAGTCGGACACGACTCATAGCGACCCCTCCTTGGGTTTCCGAGCAGTATCACTACAGAAGTAGATTGCCCAACCTTCCTTCCGAGGAGTAGCTGGTGGGTTTGAACCGCCAGCCTTCTGGTTATCAGTCTGGAAGCTCCACTGAAGCCTGTCCACCATGGGTGATGCTGGTAGTATTTGAACTATTGATGGCATAGCTTTGAGCATCATAGCCACCACAGTATGACAAACTGATAGAGAGGTGGTGGCTCTCTGAGATAGAACCAGCCATTGTTCAACTTCCTAGACAGCAGTTAGTTTCAACCCCTTCCTTAAGCCCAGTAAAGAGCATCTGGGTTTTAAATGAACTAATTAATCAACCATGATTTCACAAATTACATCCTGGCACTTGTCCCTTTCCTGCCCACCAGTGGCACTCGGTGGTCTGTGACTGTGCTTCAGTGCCCTGGCCTGCTCGGCTGAGCCTCTGTCCAGGGGCCCTCTTACTTCCCCATCCATCACCAGGGTCCCTGTGATCTCACCAGTAGATGCCCAGCTCTCACTTGATGTCTCATTTCTGGAACAGAGATGCTCCAGCTGCTACCAGGGAAGGCTCTGGACCCCAAAATATTTAGTTAGCAGCCGTTCTATTAAGTGGGATTGACTTTTTATCGCCTTTCCTCAGTACGACTGCCACCAGTGAAGGCTGTTTCCTCCTTCCCTCTTCTCTGCCTGTCAGTCCACTCCACATTCTTATCGGCAGCCTTTGGCTCTGATCAATACTAACCACTGTGTAACAGCTCAGGCGCGGCTGCTCTGGTTTGCATCGATCAGACCCTTCTTCCAACAGGTAGTCAGCTGTTTGAGGCAGTGACTTGAGATAAACACCTACTTTTACTTGAGGCTAATTTATTTCAGGTGGATTTCAAGGAGGCTCCACACCCTGTCTCTGTCAGACAAGCTGAAATAGAGTCAAGATCAACTCCCTTCATCCTTGAGCTCCTGGGAGACCTTTCTTCCTCTCCCCTTCTTTCCTTTCCCTTGTGTTCATAAGTGCCACTTATAAACAAGCTACCAGGACTGGGGGCATTGAAAATGCCACTTCAGGAAATGTGTCAGCCATCCATCGCTCTTTCCTTTTAATGAGATGCATCCAGGACCACAGAACACCAAGGGCTGCTGTGGAGGCAGCATTGTCACTGGGCAACCACGCTTCCTTCCCACTTGCCCAGAACGAATCTCATAATATCTTGCAAGCCTCATTTTCTTCGGGAGGGTGCAGGGCTGTACTCCCATCCTTGTTCTAGGCTCACAAGTGAATTTGCTAAGAGCTGAGGTTGCAAAACAGGTTGCTGTTTTGCAACTGATGTCATGTTTAATGGATGGTACAACTTTATGGCATGTGTATTGTGAACACAAAGCACCTATGTCTGGCTGTTGTTTGCCGGCCTGTATACTAAATGAGACTAAATTGTGTAACAGATATCACCATTTTCCTATCTCCTGTGTCCTAGGTCTCCTGTCCTGTTTTTTTTTTTTTTTTTCTCCAGCCCCGTCAACACACCCAGCCCGTCAGTCCCAAAGTCCTGGGGAGCCTTGCCTCACAGTGCAATTCTAGGGTACTCTCCTTCCTTCTCAGTTGCTTTCATCCTTATTCAAGCCTTCATCACCTGGCACTTAGACCACTGGAGTATCCTTTAGCTGATACCTGGTTTTTCATTCTCCATACTTTGTTAGTTTCATCCTGCCCACAGATGCATCTTCCTGGTGCTATGCTGTGGTTGCCTGTGTCTTCTCTGAAATCTTCAGTGACTGGCCATCACCTAACAGAATGGATGCCCAACTCCTCAGACTATTATTCTAGCCTTCCCAGATCTTCGTAGCTCTCTTTTGAGTTTTGTCTCCCTTTGTCGTCCAGCACAAACAACACTCTCTAGTCCATCTGGATGACTTGCTACCACCTCTTGCTACCATCCTCAATGAGATGGATCAACATAGTGACTACAACACTGGGGTCAAGCATAGCAACAATTGTGGGGATGGAGCAGGACCAGCAGTGATTGGTTCTGTTATACATAGGGTTCCTCTGAGTCAGAACCGACTCACTGGCACCTAACAACAGCACCACATAAGATGGTTATGAGGATTAAAGAAATTAATATGTACATGAGGCATTTGCAATAGTCCCTGCACAGAGGAAACTCCTAAGAAATGTTTGTTCTTAGCATTATCCTTATTGCTGTTATTGTCCACACTCCTCCAAGCCACAACCCAAAATATACTTCCTTCATGAATATTCTCCAAGTCACCCTAGCAAAAAATACTCATTCCTTGTTCTGCCACTTCCCTCCCACAACATAGCCCTGGATTTATACTGATAATAGTACAGAAAATAAGTACTGGGTGCTTGGTCCCTGACCCACCACCCATCTGTCAGTTTACCATGGTGGCTTGCATGATGCTGTCATACTGGAAGCTATGCCACTGGTATTTCCAATCCCAGTAGGGTCATTTGTAGCGGACAGGTTTCAGCAGAGCTTCCAGACAAAGACAGGCTAGGAAGAAAGCCCTAATGATCTACTCCTGTAATTTATTCAGGGACGGCCCTGTGGTCACAATAGAACATTGTCCGATTAACAATGATCATGAATACGGTACAGGGCCAGGCAACATTTCATTCTGTTGCACACTGAGTCACCATGAGTCAGAGCCACCTCGATGGCAACTAATAACAGGTACATGTTCAGTACTTTCATGTAATTATCACTTTTGAATTCTTGTACTGAATTCTTTCCATCTGCTCTAGAGGCACTCTCCTTCCTCCTCCACCTTGTTTTTGCCACAGGAGGTTGATCTCTGTGTCTGCCAGCTTCCAGTGTATTTAGCCTGTGAGGAGCACTGACAAGAGATAGAGGGATGAAGAGTGAGGCCAGAATTGTACTCCCCCAGCTCCTTGCCAGCAGCACCAATGCAGGACAGCTTCCCTTCTCACCCAAGAGCACAGCTCTTGCCAAGTGGCCATCTTCACCCAGCCCACTCTGACTCCAGCTTCTGATAACCCCCTTCTGGCTACTTCACACCTGGGTGCTAACACAGCTTTAAGGCACTGTACTGTTCTTTCTGGTCCCCTGAACCCAACCACCCCTTTGTAAATACAGTAGGCCCAATATAAACTCCTCACATTTTCCCAGTTCAGGTGCGTCATGCTGACTGTGATGTTCTCATACAAACCTGTGAGTTTTGTACTGTCATTGTTAACCTCTGGCAGAGGAAGAAAGATGCTTAATATCACACTGAGCAAGGGGTGGAACCATGTCTGCCTAGCTCCAAAGCATACACTCTGAATCACAGTATTATAGTGTCTCTCGTACATTAAATTTTAAGGTAGATATTTCTACATGAATTTTTTCCACTTCTTAGAATATATAAAGTTGCTTTTGCTGCATAAAACAGTACCCCAAAACTGGCCCTTATATGTGTCATAAATAGACTATCAAGCATAACCTAATATGCACAAACAGCAGGAGATAAAACAGGTGAATGAGAGTTTCTAAGAATTAAATTTTTATGTGCTTCCAAAGACTTCTCCAAAAGAGTCAAAAGAGAACCTACAGATTGGGAAATAACATTTGGCAATGACATACCTGACAGGGGACTTATCTCTAAAATTTATAGAAAACTCCAACACCTCAACAACAAAAAAAGACAAACAATCCAATTAAAAAATGGGCAGAAGACATGAATAGACACTTCACCAAAGAGGATATTCAGGCAGCCAACAAACACATGAGGAAATGTTCACCACCCTTACCCATTGTTGTTGTTGTTGTTTGCCGTCGAGTCAGCCCCGACTCATAGCGACCCTTCCTTGGGTTTCCGAGGCAGTATCACTATGGAAGTAGGATTGTCCAACCTTCCTTCAGAGGAGCCTTATCCATTAGAGAGATACAAATCAAAACAACAATGAGATACCATGGGGCCCCAGCACTAATAGCAAAGTTCAACAAGACAGAAACTAACAAATGCTGGTGAAGATATGGAGAGGTTGGAACTCTCATACACTCGTGGTGGGACTGTAAAGTGATACAACCACTGTGGAAATCGGTATGGCTGTTCCTTAAAAAGTTGGAATTAGAAATACCATTTGACTCAGCAATCTCATTACTGGGTATATATCCTAAAAAAGTGAGAGTCAGGACAAAAACAGATATATGCACACCCATGTTCAGCACTATTTACATTGCAGCACTGTTTACAATAGCCAAAACATGGAAACAACCTAGGTGCCCATCAACAGAAGAATGAATAACCAAACTGTGGTACATACACACAGTGGAATACTATGCAACCCTAAAGAATGGTGTAGAATCTTCAAATTACCACATACCATGTAATGTTGATGAACTTGGAGGATATTATGCTGAGTGAAATAAGTCAATCACAAAAGGACAAATATTGTATTCATTCATTATTGTAAAAAGTCAAGGAAAGGTTTATATATGGAAGGAAACTTTCTTTGTTGGTTACCAGGGGTGGGAGGTGGGGGGAGGAAACACTGCAAAAAGGAAAAGGGCGAAAAAAAACTTAGAGGCTTAAAACCATGGTCGTGTATTAGCTTACCATTCCAGGAGGTGGCAGCTTAGGCTGGGCTTACCTGGGTGGTTGTTTTGCTGGTCTCACCTGGGTTTGCTTGTGTGGCTACAGTCAGTTGGAAGAATATCTGAGAATTGGTTCCAGACGGTGTCATTTTATGTATCTGGCAGTTGGTTGGAAGCCACAGGGGTCTCCAGTATCTAGCAAGTGAGCCTAGGCTTCTTCACATGGTAGCTGGTTTCCAAAAATACCAAAAGAGCCAAAGACTTAGGGTGAAAGTGCTTTTCAAGTTGCTCTTTGTATCAGATTTCCTCATGTTCCATGGATATAACACTGATTTAAGAGCTGGCAAAATAGACTCTACCTCTTGATGGGAGGAGCTGCAAAATTCTGTGACCTTTTTTTTTCCCTTCAATCTACCACACCAGACACTCCTTTCCGGAAGGGAGTGTGTCTTGACAATCTCGCATCCTGTATCCTCATAACCCAAGTCAGAAAAGTAATTTGAGCAGGTATGTTTTAGGCTTGGGGAGCGTCGGCTTAGCAGCTTGATAAGCATCTGATACTATTCCTGCTGTTACCACAAGGCTGAAAGGAACATCTCTTCAAACTTAGCATGAAGGAGTGGAATTTTTTAAATTAGACTTCAGCAGAATTTTTTAAAGAATCTTTTCTTCAGTCGCCTCTCCCTTGTTATATATTTTAACTCCACCCAGTGGCATACCACAGCCGGCCCGCTTCTCCTTCCCACCCTTCCACACCACTGTTTTCTTGGCAGCAGTGCTAAGCTCACGTTGCCACAGAAGGCAGAGGGCGAAATCTTGCCTCCTCTTCTCCTCACTTCCTCCTTTCTTTCCTGCATTCCTCCTGGAGCTCCTCCTTGTCTGTTCACTCCTGCTCTGCACCCATCTGGTGTGCTCCTAGGAGCAGGACGCTAGAAAGAGCTGGAAGGGTTGCCTATAGTGATGCCATACGCAGCTGTCCAGGTTGAGCACTGCACTTGGCAGCCAGGAGATTAGACTCCCAAAAAGTCCCAATCTAGAAAGCTAATTTAAAATGTCTGCCTGCTAA